TGAAATATCCGAGTAAGGAGTGATTCTGGAGATGTAAGGAAGGTGGGCCTTTGGTTCTCTGAACACTTATGAGCTGGGACTTAGTGACCTAAGAGGATTTATCACATTACGTATTCTAGCGGTGGCTTTCGGGGAGGAACATAACACGATTTGCTTTCTAGCCCAAAGCCCTGAGAATAATTAGGCAGGAGTTCAGACAAGTGTTAAGGCAGTTGTTTCTGCTGAATCCAAGTGGCTTGAAAAAAAATCAATTTTGTTCTTATCCAAGGAGGGCTTGCTTTTTAGATTCTTCCTGATTGATTGAATAGTAAAGCAAATGACCTTGTCAGCATTAAAAGTAAACAAGGCAAAAAATCAGTGCAACCTTCCAAAATCAAGTCAAGTACAACAGAATTTGGAGAAAATATTTTGGAATGCTGGAGTGAGCAGTGTGACCCTGCTTTTTGGAATTCTTATTTGGTCTGATTTGCAACTCTAACATATATCTGAATTGTCTGGGGTCTCTTCTGTTTTGGCCTCTTTTTTCCTGGCTCAGCTGGCTGGCTGCCTTTCCTGGGATCTGAGACAGACTTACCCAAGTGTGGGTCAGTTTTGTCAACACATAGAAAGTAGAGAGAGTTCCTTCAGGAAAAGGGGGCGTTGGGGAAGTAAAAGCTGGGTGTGGTGGCGCATGCCTTGATCCCAACATTTAGGAGGCAGAGGCAGGTGGATCTCTATGAGTTTAAGAGCAGCCTTATCTATTCCAGGCCAGCCAGGGCTGAGAGAGACAGAGAGACAGAGAATGGACTAGATGTTGTTGTGAAGGGACCAGCTCCCAATTTCAGCAGCCATAACAGCCGAACACGTACTTGCCTGACCTTGTCTTGGTCACTAGGAGGTCAGATGCCTGCCCCTTTCGGCAGCCATAACAGTAAGCCACGTGGACGGAATGGATTGGCGTCTGTTCTTTTCTGTCTATTCTGTCTCTGTGTTTTCATTGCTGGTTTTCAATTCAGGATCCACCATGACACCCCCTTTCGTTGAGTCATGTGGTAACTTTCTCTTTTTCTGTACGGTTTCTGTGAGGCCTGGAGGGTTGGAACGGGCAGTGTGACTGGGCAGTTGAGCAGGTTTGTTATCTGTGTTATCTGATCTGTTGCAATCCATACTCGGCCTGCTTGCTTTTTGGTGCTGTGTCAGTTTTGTGTTTTCAGGTCTGCTGTTTCTGTTAATTGTGTACATGTAAAGGTCCTATGTTGGAGTTGCTAACAAAATCTGCAAGTAGGCCTACAAGAATTGTTTAGGGCAGAGGTTCCGGCAACAGCTTCCACAATCTGTAGGAGGGGTACTTGGGGGGACCAAGTTGCCTGCTCCATCTGTAAGGGGACCCAGGAGGGTCACCAATCTATAGGGGAGACTCGGTTTTGGACCAAGTTGATCTCCATGGGGCTAGCCATCTGAAATTCTGA